AGGTGGATTTTCATTGTCTAGCTTGCTTAGTTTCTACCATAGTGTTTTCTCTTATGTTGGGAAAGTGATGGCTTATGTTAAAAGGATGAAGGAGGGATGGTAGGAAGCCCAGTATTTTTGACAAGCCCCGTTCACAAGTACTGCTCTGCTTTATAAATATTTACCCCTGGGTTCAATGGCTGGTCAAAATCACTGTTCCCATGTCATAGTGAACAGGGCCAATACATTAGTTTATGCCGCTTTCATATGCTAGTTGGAACAAGGAAACTCTGACATTTCCGACTTCCTGATTCGTTGAACGTGGCACGAGTGTAACTACAACCAGTTAGCATGTCGGAAATTTCTGCGTTTCCTACTTCAGACTAGCATGTGAACGCGGCATTATACAGACACTCCCAACTGAATATTTGAGAAATGGCTGCTGCCCAGACAGCTTGTGGTGTTTGTGTTCTTACTGTGTATTGTTCCATAGTTAGTGCCTGAGGTTATCACAATCAGGAAGGCCAAAATATGAGATCATCACATTTATTTTCTAACAATACTTTAATTGAGATCAATGTTAATGAAAGAAGAAAATATCGATGATTGATTGTCCCTCCATGAAGTTTCATGACATAAAAAAAACATGTCTCCAGGGAGGTTTCTCCAAAGACACTGGTTTCTCTGTAGTGTGCATTCGAATTAAACAGTTGATGCACCTCCCTTTTCCAGAGGCAGAGACAGGAGTTAGTTAGATCTCAACGTGCCTTTTTGCAGTTGTTTATTTCAACATGTTACAGCAAAATGGCTGCCCAGTGATCTGTGCATGGAGGCCTATAACACTGACAGCACTATACAGTGTGTTTCTGATCAGCATATGGCTTCTAGTCTATTCTATAATGTCGGTTACATGACAAAGGTCAGGTTCTGTGGCCAGTATGCTACAATGATTATCATGATTATCATCATAACTTTCTTTTCCAATGTCCACTAATGTCCAATGGATCTAAACACTTTACAGTGGCTTCTAGTTCCTTTCATCTGCCTTAATCTTTACACTGATCAAAACACATGATACAGTGAAGGCAAATTGTTCTGTCACCATCCCTTAAAACTGTCGGACTGCATTTCCTAATCACCATCTATGCCATCAATATCCAGGCTCCAGCTGCGCCAATCTTCTTATCATGTTTGTGAGTTAATGGAAGAAGTGTGGACAGGGCCGGACCTACAGGGGGCCCCCAACCCAAAATTAAGGTTTCTTTTTTTTTTTGGGGGGGGGGGGGCATCCAGGCCCACCCAGATTGTATGAACATGTCCGTTGGGGCCCCCCTGGAGGTCAGGCCCCCACAGATAGCATATGAATACATCGATTGGGGGCCCCCTGGAGGTCGCCCCCCCCCCCCGCAGCTGGCATATTATGAACACAACATAAGCCATGGCAAAATATATAGAATAGTATAAATATTTAGCTTTAAAACTCCCAAACTGTCTCTCAGCCTCATGGCAAAATGTGTAGAATAGCGTGAGATTAGCTATAAAACTGCACATTTTTCTGTCTGCACCTTGGCAAAATGTGTAGAATTGCAGGAAGTTAGCCAAATATAATTTGTTGGAGGAGGTAGGTGCCCCAGATGGGTACTTGCTATCATTGGGACGTCCCTACCCCATTGAAGTATACATTTTAAATGGTTGGGGTTAGGTAAGGGTTATGGTTAGGGTACGAATAGGGGTTAGGATAGGGACGTCCCGAGGATCCCGGATAGCACTAACCACTCCAGATGTGGTAGTCCGGCCCTGTGCGTGGATATGACATCATCATCCCATTGTTGTCATAGGTACAGTATTAACGTCCCTCCAGATCGAATGGATTTAACTGAGGGAGATAATCAGGTGGCATCAGATGTAGATGAGCATATTAGTGGGCAGCACTTTCGATAAACCAAGCCATCCAGATAGTTATATGGAGTGATATTAGTGCCAAAAAGAGACTGATTCCATTTCTGTCAGTCGACTATTGACATCTAAAATCTGCCCAAATACCTATTCGAAGTGTCCTGGAATGTGCTTGAATCTGATGCTACAAGGCAAATCTGTGCTTAGCTTGAACAAAAAGGAGGAAAATGACAGTGACAATAAAATATCTGTGTCCCATCAGACGAAAGGCAAAACAACAATTTATTTAGTCAAACTTCAGATTGAATATGTTTACAGCATCTTGACAAGATCAGTGAGTTGTGACCGTTTCCAGTCACAAAACAGCTCTGCATTTTACCCACAACACAGTAGGTTGGAGGCCTTTGTTGAGATATGTTGCATTCCATTTCATGCAACACTGCAGAACATTGCAATCCTGAATATACAGTGGCTTGTGATAGTATTCACCACCCTTGGCATTTTTCCTATTTTGTTGCCTTACAACCTGGAATTAAAATGGATTTTTTGGGGGTTTGTATCATTTGAGTTACACAACATGCCTACCACTTTGAAGATGCAAAATATTTTTGTGGTGTGAAACAAACAAGAAATAAGACAAAAAAAACTGAAAACTTGAGCGTGCATAACTATTCAAATCTCTGGAAACTGAAACAGGTTTCCCTCAAGAATTTCCCTGTATTTAGCGCCATCCATCATTCCTTCAATTCTGACCAGTTTCCCAGTCCCTGCCGATGAAAAACATCCCCACAGCATGATGCTGCCACCACCATGCTTCACTGTGGGGATGGTGTTCTCGGGGTGATGAGAGGTGTTGAGTTTGCGCCAGACATAGCGTTTTCCTTGATGGCCAAAAGCTCAATTTTAGTCTCATCTGACCAGAGTACCTTCTTCCATATGTTTGTGGAGTCTCCCACATGCCTTTTGGCGAACACCAAACGTGTTTGCTTATTTTTTTCTTTAAGCAATAGCTTTTTTCTGGCCACTCTTCCGTAAAGGCCATCTCTGTGGAGTGTACGGCTTAAAGTGGTCCTATGGACAGATACTCCAATCTCCGCTGTGGAGCTTTGCAGCTCCTTCAGGGTTATCTTTGGTCTCTTTGTTGCCTCTCTGATTAATGCCCTCCTTGCCTGGTCCAGTTTTGGTCGGCGGCCCTCTCTTGGCAGGTTTGTTGTCTGCCATATTCTTTCCATTTTTTAATAATGGATTTAATGGTGCTCCGTGGGATGTTCAAAGTGTCTTTTATAACCCAACCCTGATCTGTACTTCTCCACAACTTTGTCCCTGACCTGTTTGGAGAGCTCCTTGATCTTCATGGTTCCGCTTGCTTGGTGGTGCCCCTTGCTTAGTGGTGTTGCAGACTCTGGGGCCTTTCAGAACAGGTGTATATATACTGAGATCATGTGACAGATCATGTGACACTTAGATTGCACACAGGTGGACTTTATTTAACTAATTATGTGACTTCTGAAGGTAATTGGTTGCACCAGATCTTATTTAGGGGCTTCATAGCAAAGGGGGTGAATACATATGCACGCACCACTTTTCCGTTATTTCTTTTTTAGAATTTTTTGAAACAAGTTATTTTTTTTATTTCACTTCACCAATTTGGACTGTTTTGAGTATGTCCATTACATGAAATTCAAAAAAAAAAATCTTTTAAATTACAGGTTGTAACGCAACAAAATAGGAGGATGAATACTTTTGCAAGGTGTTGTACCTGTGATCCTAATCCAGATCTCCCATTATCATAAGGGGAAGCCCTCTGTATTTCCATTAACACTGACTATAAATCATATGCAGGTATTCTTGTCTTTAATGTTAACACAATTGTAACAGAGAATGATATTTTGGAGAACAGGAAAGTAGTGGTTATGTTTGCATAGCCATAAACTAAGGAAGGACAGATAGAATCAAACTAACACAAACATAAATTAGATATACATGTATATCTATCAACAGCTCTGGTACAAACAGAATCAGTCAGTCCGTCCATCTGCAGAGCTAAACATGGGCAAGAAGTAAAATTGTGGCTCAGTGTTAAATAACTTTGGATCGTTGCTACATCTAGAGTTAGTTTTAACAGTCAGCCGTGTCAAAAACGTTTTACAAAATACCAAATTAATTCATTTCCACTATTCCCCCACCCACGTAACCCACCCGAGAAAAATATATGTATCCTTTAGATTCAGAGTACTGTTTAATTACTGCATAAGCGTTTGGGTTATTGAGGGTTTACTCCGTTCAAGCATTCACACACAAGTAGTCAGTCAGGAGCCAGGAACGGGACAGAAAGAAAAGGTGGACACTTTTCACAGGGTTCATTTCTGTAACTTCTGCAAACTGTAACTTTATTTCACGGTCAATAGTGCTCCCTTTGTATTTGTTTGTAAACTGAAGCGGTGGGTCTCAGCAAATGTAAAAGTTTGTGTTGTGTTTTACTGTTTGGCCTAAAATGTTTTTCCCAATGGAAAAATCTAAATTACAGATTTGATCTCTAACTGGATCCACAGAATCATTAAATAAGCAGAAGATAAAGTAATGCTTTCTCGTCTCCTCAGCAGACACCAGGCCAGAGGAAGGGAGGTGGGTGGAGGTAGAAAATCACACATGACAAAAAAATATATACAAAATCCAGTGACAACCACAGGGTCTTACACCAGCAGGTCTCATCACATCATAGACCATGGTGCAAACATACTTAAATACGTACATACATATTTCATACATACACATACAGTATATAATAATAAAATAAGATAGATAGTTATAAAATACCTATGTACAAATGCATAATCCAGATGAGTCTATCGGGAGACCTAGCAGTAATGGCAGTCAGTGGAAGAGGTTCCTCTCATCTTTTATGGATGTGTGTGTGTGTGTGTGTGTGTGTGTGTGTGTGTGCTGTGGTGTACATGGCACTTACTGTACAAGTGTGTATGTACTGTATGTAGGGGCACACAGAGGATCCCACAATGCTAAAGAATCGTGTCAACAGCCCTTCATCCTCCTCCCTTCTCTTACTAAGTCCTCCCCTCATCTCACCTCAGTCCTGTTGGTGAGGAGGGGTTTTAAAAGTTCAGAGGTCAAAAGTGGAGATGTGTTTGACCTGCCAGGTCTGTGGTGTCCGGCGAGTGCGTCCTGAACAGCTGCGTGAGCGCAAAGACGGAAGAGATGAGCACCGTGCAGCGTTTGGCCAGCAGCCTCACCCCCTCACCCTCTCCCTGCCCCTGTCCATCCCCAGACCCAGTCCCACCGCCAGCCCCAGCCCTGGTTTCAGCCGTCTCCACAGCCCCAACAAATTCCCGGTACAGCCCTACGATCTCCTTCAGCTTGTCCAGAGCCTCCTCCTGGCCCTCATCATCAGTGCTCTGGATCTGACCCTCATTGTGGCAGATGTCACAGCCAGGACAGGGGTGTGTTCTCAGGCAGGCTGCGGAGAGCTGCACAAGAGCACTAAAGCTGTTGGATAAGGAACGAAGCGCCTCCTCCGGAGCCCAGCCCACACGTGTGGCACGCTGGCACCCTGTTGCCAACCGCCGGGCCTCTGCCTGGAGTAAACTCCTCTCAGCCTCTGTCATGGGCAGAGGACTTGCCCCTCCACAGCACGGGGTCGGACCCTCCTCTTGCCCCACGTCTTGGTTTGGGTTGGGTCCCCCTTCTCTACACCCATCCTGGTCTGTTTTGGAGGGTTCTGATGATGGTGGTGGCCCAGCCGTGCCTCTCTCCAGGACCAGGCATAGCTGATCGATGTCCTGCCTCAGGGAGGCAAAGCCCCCCTTCAGCCCTACGTAGCGTTTGTTGGTGAGGGAGCACAGGGCGCCTATAGGAGGCGTTGGGGAGATGGGGTGGGACAGGAGGGGGCTAAACTCTGAGGAGGCAGTGGAGAGAGTGGAGAGAGGGCGAGGGGTGTCCCTCAGCAGGGACAGGATGTTGGGGGAGGGGACAGGGGAGGTGGGGGAGGGCAGGGGTGTAGAGCGGGCTTGTTTGGGGCGCGTGCGTTTGGAGAACTCGTAGATTGTGAGCTCCTCGTCAAAGCCGCAGCCGTCCTCCACGTCGCCGCTGAAGCAGTTGGCGTAGACGGTGCGGCAGCCACACGCCTCGTGGTGGGCCTGGGGAGGGGTGTGCACCAGAGAGTCCCCCTCTAGGGGTGGGCCTGAACCACCCCCTAACCCCACCTCTGAGTGGGGCCTGGACTGGGGCTGCTCTGACTTGCAGGAGCCCAGAAACCCATAGGGCTCAGAGACGTGCGCCCCATTTTCTCTCAGGGTCTGGTTGGGGTGCGACCCATTCGTCCCATTGGCCTCCTTCACACGGGGAGTCACTTCCTGGAACTCTTTGATGGTCGCTATGACGACCTCAGCTCCATCCTCCAGCACTTCCTTCTTCCCTTTACCCGCTGCAGTCTCACCTACTGCCTTGGCAGTGACCTTGCTGACCTCGGAGGCTCCGCTGACCGAAAGACCGGAGCCGTACCCGGATGTGACATCCTCGTTGACAGAGCTGGTGGAGGGGTAGTCCAGGGTGCCCAGGATCTCCTGGGAGCGGGTCATGTACCAGGGCAGGGCCTGGATCCTCCCTCTCAGGGCTGAGGTAGGCAGACGGCCCCCCAGGCTGGACGAACTGACCCTCAGGTCTGAACCTGACCCTGACCTCCCTGTGCTCTCTGGGCCTCCCGCTGTCCCTTTAGAGGAGGAAATGGTGAGGGAGGTTGTCAGACTGTGGGGGCCGTCTGCGTTTTTGGGCGACAGGTTCTCATGACTCAGAGAGACCTTCCTCCCGGACTGAGCGCTCCCATTGCGACTGCCCCAGGGGTGGAGGCCGTTCGGGGGGGACACCCCCTCTTTCTCTTTCGGTGAGACCGGGATGGGGAGGACTGTTAGGGGATGAAGAGAAGGAGGGGAAGTTCTGGGAGAGAGTGGTGGAGGGGTGGTAAGGCTTATCCTGATTTCATCTCCTGAAGCCGAACGTGGAATGGGGGACAAGCTTTGCAGCTTTTTCGGGGGGTCCACCCCAACCCCGTTTCGGAACTCACCCTTCAGCATGGAAATCCTATTTGTTTTAGTTTCAACCATGGCTGTCTGCTTGTCAGCAGTGACCAGAACACGATCCTTAGGAAGCACGTTAGGAGTCCCGTTCTCTATCTTAGAACTGTTCTCTTGCTTAGAACCGTTCTCTATTTTAGGCCCATTCTCTTGCCTGAGCCTGTTCTCCACAGCCTGAGGTCCAGCAGGGGGTTGCTGGTTCTTCCGTACAGCCGTGATGAGGGGGGAGGCGAGCGGAGGCCCCCCCGCCCCCGAGGTGACTGATTTAAACTCCATTGTTTCTGGCTCCATGGTGTCTATCTCCAGGAGACCTGCGTGGCCCCCACGAGCATCCCCATTACAGTGGGCGTACGGACCCCCACGCTTGGGAGACCTCTGGGGGTCTATCTGGGGTTTGGGGGCTAGTTCGGGTTTAGGGGCCAGTTCAGGTTTGGGGGGTAGCTGGGGCTTGGGGGCCAATGGTGGAGGCTTGGTCTTGGCATCGACACTCTGAGTGGAAGACTGGTTTGAGTGGAGCTTTGGATCTTGTTGGGTCTCCTGCTGTTTTTTGTGGTCAGGTGAGGAGTGCTTCTTTTTGAGGGGTGAGGGAGGCGCCCTCTCTGGTACCACTGGCAGTCCGTTCCCTGTGCCACTCCAGCGTTTACTGTGTCTATTATTGTCAGCCGCATCCAAACTGTTTTCTGAGAGAGAGAGAGAGAGAGAGAGAGAGAGAGAGAGAGAGACAGAGAGAGAGAGAGAGAGAGAGAGAGAGAGAGAGATGGGGGCGTTAAACACTTGAACAGTTCTGTACACAGTTACTCTGTCAGTGAAGAAGTCAACAACCCACCTGTGCCATCAGGAGGAACTGGAGGAGTGAACCGCTCCTGGGCATCGAAGAACTCATCGTCTGACTCTGAGGCACTTTCCCTAGCAACAGGAGGAGGAGCGTTAGGGGACGGCGTTAGGAAAGGCCCGGAATCTCCAGAGTGACTTGATAGACTCTCCTCCCCTTTGTGGGTGGAGCTACAAGCCGCCCTCTTTTCACAGGAGGAGGTGTGGTTGGGGATGATTCTGGGGATGTCTAACTTGTTGTTGGAAGCAGTTTTGTTAGACTGGGCACAGATCTTGTCGATGAGGCGCAGGTCTATGTGACTAGGTATCTTAGAGAGCCGTCTCAGTTCCTCCTCATCATCGTCATCCTCAACTTCCTCCGTCTCCTCCTCGTCGCTGGTGGCCTCGGGGGGGCTGGGGAGGTAGCTGCCCTTGGAGAGCTCGTTGAAGTACAGGCACGAGCTGTCATTGCTACGGTAACTCAGGTTGGTGGGGCGTACGGGCGCGGAGGCCGTGCTGCCGGCGGCGCCCGCTCTCTGACACTGAGGAGAGGGAGCTGTGACCTCCAGGAGGAACGGGTGGTGGACATCCAGGGTGGTGATCCCCTGAGTCGGCCGTTGGGACCGGAGAGAGGGGCTGTCCTCGCGCAGGGCGACCACGTGAGAGGAGGCCTTGGCTGGGCCTCCTCCTCTGGCTGGAGCTGCAGCGCTGCTCTCCTCCAAGGCAGCCCTCAGAGAGCCACTGGACAGGCTGGAGAAGCTACTGTTGACCCGCGGGTCTGTGTGGTACCAGTTAGTGTCCAGCACCATGTCCTGTTCCACTGTTCCTATGTTAGCTTTACTTCCTAGATTTATCTCTCTTCCTCTCACTTCCCTTCCGTTCTCTTCCTCTACTTCCATGTCCTTCTCTGACGTCACAATGATCTTCACCTCTTGTTTCTCTTCGTCTTCTATCTCAGCTCTCTCTTTCTTTCCCTCCGCTCCTCTCTGCTCCTCCTCTTCTCTCCTCCACCCCTCCCTGTCTTTGCTGGCGGGTGTGTGGCGTTTGCGGGTGTGCGTCGGTGGAGGCTCGGCGGGGTAGTCCTCGTCTGACGAGTCATCGGAGTCACTACAGCAGCGGGACACATAGCCTGGGAATGACAAAAAACTAAAACGTTTTTTTCTCAGTTACATACATTTTACTATACTAATAATAGTAGTCTCAAATGAATATGTTTGATCTGTATCAACTATCCATACTGGCTGATATCCACGCCAAAATAAATAGTATGATCAATGCCAAAAAGGAAAAATTATAGTTAAACATTGATGCTCACTTGTCAGCGATTCATAGCAAACTCCCTCTATAACGGCGAACCTCCCTTCACACACACCTTCCTCAGCAGGTATCCTGTGCACCCGCACCTTGGGGCGTCTCAGACGGAACACACACACTCTGGGGTCCACCAGGAGCTTGCAGTAGCCCCCCAGTAGACACGCCAAGTCTTTGGCTGCCAGAGAGTCCATCAGTAAGGCAAAAGGCTGGAGAGAGAGGGGGAAGAGAGACGGAGAGAGAGAAAGAGGAAGAGAGAGAGAGAGAGAGAGAGAGAGAGAGAGAGACAGACAGACAGACAGACAGACAGACAGACAGACAGACAGACAGACAGAGAGAGAGAGAGAGAGGGGAGTAGGAAGAGAGAATGCATGTTGTATTTTCCATCCAATGTATTTGTGTGTGAACTAAGCATAGCTATGAGCAAACATGTGTGTCTGAGAGAGTGTGTGTGTGATCTCTGTGTGTGTGTATGTGTATCATATACAGTGCAAAGTATTCAGACCCCTTGACTTTTTCCACATTTTGTTACGTTACAGCCTTATTCTAAAATGGATTAAATCAAAACATTTCCTCACCAATCTACACACAATACACCATAATGACAAAGCGAAAACAGGTTTTTATAAATAAATAAAGACATTATTTACATAAGTATTCAGACCCTTTGCTATGAGACTTGAAATTGAGGTCAGGAGCATCCTGTTTCCATTGATCATCCTTGAGATGTTTCTACATCTTGATTGGAGTCCACCTGTGGTAAATTCAATTGATTGGACATGATTTGGAAAGGCACACACCTGTCTATATAAGGTCCCACAGTTGACAGTGAATGTCAGAGCAAAAACCGAAGGTCGAAGGAATTGCCTGTAGAGCTCCGAGACAGGATTGTGTCGAGGCACAGATCTGGGGAAGTGTCCCAAAAACTATTTCTGCAGCATTGAAGGTCCCCAAGAACACAGTGGCCTCCATCATTCTTAAATGGAAGAAGTTTGGAACCACCAAGACTCTTCCTAGAGCTGGCCGCCCTTGCCAAACTGAGCAATCGGGGCAGAAGGTCCTTGGTCAGGGAGGTGACCAAGAACCCGATGGTCACTCTAACAGAGCTCCAGAGTTCCTTCCAGAAGGACAACTATCTCTGCAGAACTCCACCAATCAGGCCTTATGGTAGAGTGGCCAGACGGAAGCCATTCCTCAGTAAAAGGCACATGACAGCCCGCTTGGAGTTTGCCAAAAGGCACCTAAAGATTCTCAGACCATGAGAAACAAGATTCTCTGGTCTGATAAAACCAAGATTGAACTCTTTGGTCTGAATGCCAAGCGTCACGTCTGGAGGAACCATAGCACCATCCCTACGGTGAAGTATGGCGTTGGCAGCATCATGCTGTGGGGATGTTTTTCAGCGGCAGGGACTGGGAGACTAGTCAGGATCGAGGGAAAGATGAACAGAGCAAAGTACAGAGAGATCCTTGATGAAAACCAACAGGACAACGACCCTAAGCACATAGCCAAGACAACGCAGGAGTGGCTTCGGGACAAGTCTCTGAATGTCCTTGAGCCCAGCCAGAGCCCGGAATTGAACCCGATCGAACATCTCTAGAGAGACCTGAAAATAGCTGTGCAGCGACGCTCCCCATCCAACTTGACAGAGCTTGAGAGGATCTGCAGAGAAGAATGGGAGAAACTCCCCAAATACAGGTGTGCAAAGCTTGTAGCATCATACCCAAGAAGACTTGAGGCTGTAATTTCTGCCAAAGGTGCTTCAACAAAGTACTGAGTAAATGGTCTGAATACTTATGTAAATGTGATATCAGTTTTTTATTTTTAATACATTTGCAAAAAAATCGAAAAACCTATTTTTGGTTTGTCATGATGGGGTATTGTGTGTAGATTGATGGGGGGGGGGGGGGGGGGCTATTGTATCAATTTTAGAATAAGGTTGTAACGTAACAAAATGTGGAAAAAGTCAAGGGGTCTGAATACTTTCTGAATGGACTGTACAGTGTGTATGGTATCCTACCTTAATGTCGTGCAGTGAGATGCGTAGCAGGCTGACTCTGTCCGACTCAGAGAGCAGCTCCACTCTACTGATGCTGCTGAAGTCTACCAGGGTGGACACCATGTTGAGCTTGTGGTTGACCACCTGACTCAGGCCGTAGCGCGCTCCCACCAACAGACTGACCAGCGCCTCCCGGTCCTGCAACTGGGGTGGAGGAGGACGGAGAAGAACAGAGGGGGAGGAGGACAGAGGGGCAAAGATAAAGGGGGATGGGGAGAGAGAGGGAGAGGAAAAAGAGGAAGAGAGGTAGGGAGAGAGAGAGAAAGGGAAGAGGGGTGAAAGGAAGAAAGAAGTAGATACAGTCTGAGATGCATACTGAATCATCACAGGGTGAAACGAGGCCAGAATGGGGGTGGTCAATCCTGTCCAGCCAATAACAGCTCTCTAAATTGGGGCAGAGTCAGAGAATGATTGACAGCTGTGATGATCCTTTGTAAGTTGTTTCAAACACACTAACCATCATGGTGGCTGTGTAGGAGCGGCCCCCGTAGGAGATGAGCTCTCCAAGCTGGGTGAGGTAGGCCAGCCGGGCCTGAGTGGCTGAGATCACCTGGGAGAGAGAGGGAGAGGGAGAGGTAGAGAGAGAGAACGAGAACGACAATGACGACAACATTGACGACAACAAGAAAAAGGTATTGCACGTATAATCTCTCCCTCCTTTCTCTCCCCTCTCCCTTTCCCCTTTCCCCTTCTCCCTCCCGCCATACCTTCTGTCGTGGCTCCAGCAGTGAGTGGATCTTCTTGAGGTGGTAGCTGATGGCTTTCCTCAGGTCCTTCTCTCTCATGTTACTGAGCAGAGTGGGAGAGATGAAGCTGTCCAGACCAAACTCTTTCCTGTCACAGTACACACAGGAGACAATATCAATGTTTGTTTGTGTGTGTGTGTGTGTGTGTGTGTGTGTGTGTGTGTGTGTGTGTGTGTGTGTGTGTGTGTGTGTGTGTGTGTGTGTGTGTGTGTCTCACGTGATGCTCTTGATAGAGGTCCGGGTGGAGCCTATGCTGTCCAGTCTCTCGTGCATGTGCAGGGCAGCCAGACGCAGTGCAGTGTTACACTTCATTTCCACCGCAAACCTCTCCTGTAGAACGTCCCCAACACTCTGACAACACAAACACAGACACAGAGAGCGTTATACACACACATTCAGCATTATATATACACACAGCATGAAACACACAAACACACAGGCAGAAAGATACACACACAAGGTATGAAACAAATTGTATTTCCTCTACAATAAATCACACTGACACAGGTTTGGCTATAATCCCTCCCTGTGAAGTACCGCCGCCATACATTATATTTTACAGCGAAGGCTGCAGCAAAAGCGAACTCCTTTGTCGACCACGTGTGCGCGATTGGCTAGGGAACGACGGCTGGCTGGTGGTAAATTCGTTGATATGTTCATATGGGCAGAATATTGTATAAAATAAATAAATACAAATGTGCTGCATTAGTTGCCTTCCTTTTAGATAGAATAAATAAAACAGGGTTGGGCGAATAACTTGAAAAATGTCATCCATAAGCCTACTTATGCACATATAAAGAAAAGTTATTTAAACCTAATTCATTTTCTTTCAATTTGCGCCATAGAATCTAATTATCGATATATAATAAAACTAGGCCTATGATATTTCCTTGATATTTCCTTGATATTTCCTTCCGACCACTTATGGGCCATCAGGAGACAAAATCGAGACATGAGATGGTGCACTATTAATGGCAGCACCACTTTATCAAATGTTCATCTGGATATTTTACGCTACGCAGTGAATACAGTTTCCAAAATGATACACAAATCCAAAATGATGTATGCGATTGCAATATCGAATGCTTCTAACCGAAAGAGTAACCTAACTTCTGTGGTTCTTCAATAGGCTATGAGTATAGTAGACTAATAGACCTACTTGTTGGATGCGCATTTGGTATCCAGCTGTTTAGCTAGGCATACTGGTATTGTCGACCATCATCAGCAGATCCAGTCAAGTGACAAACAGTTTTGTGATATGGAGGCGATGCAAAAACATCCAGTGCGGGAAAATGGTGTTCGGAAGAATGTCCAGAATATGTTGATGTCCTTTTCGTTGTGCCAGTGAAGTTGTGATCCACATTGGATCCAATCCAATACCCCTAAATTTATGTTGATCATCTGCTATTGTCTGCTTGATTTACAACAAGGTCTAGAAGATTTAACAGAGAAAGCAAACGGGACTAAAAGATTTACCAGTATTCTGCCCATATGAACAAATGTATTTTAGGCCATAGCCTAAAGAACTGCTACATTATTTAATGAAATAGTCACATTGTTTCACATTCTTTAATAAAAGACTCATAAACAGAAACAGGCAATAGGCTACAGCTCGCTTCACACTTTCCCCGCCAAATAGGCCTAAAAGGAAACTCAACTTATCTCAACGATGTTGAGTTCTGTACGCAGCGCAGTAGCTTCCAAATAAAGTTTTACTCTACAAAAAGACTCGTAAGCTCCTCCCTGTAAATAAACTCTGATTCTCAGCCGAAGGAGACTCCTCTATTACAGCCAACACTGCTCACCTGTGTGCCAGTTAAACAGGGTCTCATGGCTATAAGTACAGGTGAAAGTATAGGCAGACTAGTTACAGACACTAAAGATGGTAGTCTAGGCCTACAGGTAGATGTGGCTAGCTACTCACCTGGAGGAAGAGGTACTCGAAGGCGGTGGGGTCTTCCTGTAGCAGCTCCAGGGGGTCTCTGGGAATGAAACACACCCTGAACAGACACCTGTAGTCATGGCTGCTGTTCTCCTTCTTCTGCACCACCTGGAGAAACATTCACATTACACAGGGTTATATTGAGGTGACCAAACACATACATGTTACACAGGGTTATATTGAGGTGACCAAGCACATGCATGTTACACAGGGTTATATTGAGGTGACCAAACACATGCATGTTACACAGGGTTATATTGAGGTGACCAAACATTGCTGGAAATTAATTGGTAGATATTGTGTTACATTTGGCTTTTTAAGCCAATAGTGGCTAACCAGGGCTGGGAAAATGTCAATGTGGCTTTGATTGGACAGTAGCCGGGAGCTTTATGTTTATGACAGTTTACAGTAGCTCACGATCTACCTTTTGGAGACCCGTGATTTAGAGATAAATATTGTTTGACTGACTGCACTGGTTACACAGGTTGGATGTGTGGGTGAGATGTGTGTGTGATTGCATGTGTGGGTGAGGTTGCACGTGTGTGTGTTGTGTGTGTGTGTGTTCTCCTCACCTTGTGTATAAGCTCATCCTCGTGCAGCAGCAGAAGCTTGGTGATACTGTACTGCTGTTCCAGCACCAGAGAAAAGTACTCAATACAGCGGATAGACAACTTGTCCTTCAGAGTCAGAACGATGTCCTGCAACAAAACAACACAGTTAGGTATTTTGTATCGTTTTGTTGTCTTAATGTTGCTTGACAACTGAATACTTGTGTTAGCGCTAGTGGGCTACTGAGTCATGCAGACGACACAGGTTTACAAGCATGAGTGATATTTGTAGGTAAAATGTTAGACATGTTATATCCGTACCTTGATGGTGGTGGTAGCGTCGAACTTGAAGGCCTTGGTCTGTCCGTTCTCCAGGTAGACCTTCAGAACGTTGGGCAGAAACAGAAGAGAGTTTCCCTGCAGGAACAAGAGAATAAGAGAATGAGAGAGAGAGAGAGAGAGAGAGAGAGAGAGAGAGAGAGAGAGAGAGAGAGAGAGAGAGAGAGAGAGAGAGAGAGAGAGAGAGGGAGAGAGGGAGAGAGAGAGAGAGAGAGAGAGAGAGGGGGAGAGAGGGGGAGAGGAGAGAGAGGGGAGAAAGAGAGAGAAAGAAAGAGAGAGAAAGAGAGAGAGGAGAGAGAGAGAGAGAGAGAGAGAGAGAGAGAGAGTGAGAGAGAGAGAGAGGGATAGAGAACACCAGAGAGAATGTGTGTGAGGTCCTGACCTGAGTGTGACCGTTGACGACCACTTCCTCTGCGAAGCGCACTTTGATCGGGTTACTCCTCAGACGAGCCCTCTTCTCCGCCGACATGATGGACGACTTAGGACCCTGACACACAGGAAGACAACGTTATGTCATCATTAACACACACACATTCAAATATGCACACGCACACACACACACCACACACACACAGACAGACACTTACTGTCATGTGCCTTAAGATTGTCATTGTGACAGAGTCCTCCAAGTCCCTGAAGAAACACAGAGACAAGATGTTTCTGTCCAGCTGTCATGTGTGCATTTTCACTACACTGACATTTGACCTGACACGCTCAAACTCACACACGCACAAGCACACATGCACACACGCGCGCGCACACACAATCACACAAATGAAAGTATGCTTTCAGAACTGGATACACTGGAAGGGAGTCCCAGTAACCTGACTAACTACTCTACTGTCTAGTTAGAATATAGAGACTGAGAAATAGAGGGAAAAAATTGAGTAAGGGACAGAGGGAATAAAGAGAGAAAATACAACGTTAGTTACCTGGTGATGTCTTGCAGCTGTTCATAGCTGAGATCATCTACCACCAGGTCATTCATCTGTAATACCTGGTCTCCAGGGTACAGTATGCCATCCGCTGGGCCACCTACACACACACGTGCGCACACACACAGAAGATAACATTTGTTATATAATTCAACACAGTCACATGTGCTTACAGTCGCTCCCCTGGGGAGGCATGAGGGGTTAACATTATTACCAGCCTCTCTGCCAGCCTCTCTACCATCCTCTCTACCAATCTCTGCCAGCCTCTCTGCCAGACTCTCTACCAACCTCTCTGCCAGCCTCTCTGCCAGCCTCTCTACAAGCTTCTCTGCTAGGCTCTCTACCATCCTCTCTACCAACCTCTCTGCCAGCTTCTCTGCCAGCCTCTCTACAAGCCTCTCTGCCAGACTCTCTACAAGCCTCTCTGCCAGCCTCTCTACAAGCCTCTCTGCCAGACTCTCTACAAGCCTCTCTGCCAGACTCTCTGCCAGCCTCTCTACAAGCCTCTCTGCCAGACTCTCTACAAGCCTCTCTCCCAGGCTCTCTGCCAGCCTCTCTACCAGCCTCTCTACAAGCCTCTCTGCCAGCCTCTCTACAAGCCTCTCTGCCAGACTCTCTACAAGCCTCTCTGCCAGACTCTCTGCCAGCCTCTCTACAAGCCTCTCTGCCAGACTCTCTACAAGCCTCTCTCCCAGGCTCTCTGCCAGCCTCTCTACCAGCCTCTCTACAAGCCTCTCTGCCAGCCTCTCTACAAGCCTCTCTGCCAGACTCTCTGCCAGCCGCTCTCCCAGGCTCTCTGCCAGCCTCTCTGCTTGCTTTGGTTGGTTATTTATACTCATTTGTCTTCAGGCCAGAGAGCAGGACAGAGGCACAGCAGTTTCTCTGCTACCCCCTCTCTCTCGCTCTCTCTCTCCTTACACACCCACACCCCCCCACACACACAGCAAAGCCTGCCCAGCAAAGCCCTGTCCCTGAACCCACTCTCCATACCACTGACAGCAATATGGCACTGTCACACACTCACACCACACTCACTCTCTCGCTCCCTCTTTCACAACCCCAGGTCTGCCAACCCCTTCTGTGCTTTGTGACAACGCTGTCAATACCCTGATCCCTACAATATTGGACAATTCTGGACACAGCTCTGCAGAGTGGGTTACTAGCTGGCACAGTCCACAAAGTCATAAAATCTGATTTTAAACCTAACCCTAACCTTAATCCTGACCTTAACCACACTTCTAACCCTAAGAGCCAATTTATCCTTGATCCGAAAATGTGGTCGGAGGTGCCGTATGGAGGGTGTGACGCAATTGCGGAGCCTCCGGAGGCATGCAGAGGCCAAATTGAACTCTGTATCGCATCGCCGTGCGCCTCTCAAATTGTGTAACAATGCAGAGTGTTACAGGAGGGGGTCGCAGTTCCGGAGCAACCCACTAGGTGTCCTCCTCCGACAACCTTAGGCACCTCCTCACTCACAGTCTGGACTAATCATTATCTTATTGGTGTCACCTGTGTCTACCTGTTCACCTGTGTATTTATGCCCTCACTTCCCTGTGTTCCCTTGCTCAGTTTTCTCTGCTAGTTTCTCGATGCGAAGCAGTACGAATCAGTGTCTGATTGCGAGAGGTATGTACAGGTACTTGAGAAGTGTTCTCCCTGTTTCATTGTTGTTTCAGTTGTAGTTAGTATTTCGTATTTTTGCTGTCAGCCTGTTTTTGGAGACCAACTTGCTCCTCCTTTATTTTATCGTGACTGTTATTTTGTATCCTGGCTTTGGGACCACAAGTAAAGATCCTTGTTTCACCATCTCTGCCTACTGCCTACTGTCTATCCTGCACCGCACCTGGGACACACCTCACACCAACCCTTACAGCGGAGGGCTCCGTATAGCTCCGCATTGACATGATTGGTTGACGGTAGTTGAGGGCAGGAGGTCCTGTATAAACACAAACTCACTTCCTTGACAACTTCCTTCACAACAGCTCTGCGCTGCTCCGCGAAGCGCAAGAAGTATGAATGCCCTGACTTCTGCAGAGCCCATATCACTGTAAATGCTGCACAGCCAATGCAGAAGTCGGATTGACCATGCAGCGCCTTCAATGCCTAACCCTAATCCTTAAATTAAGACCAAAAAGCTAGTTTTTGTTTTAATTCATTTTTACAATATAGCCAATTTTAGCGGAAATCACTCAGTACTGCCTCCAGGAAAAGATTCATGAAAATAAACGTCAACCTGCGCTCCACTCAGTCCCCCCTCTCCCCCCCCCCCCCCCCCCCTCCCTCTTCCTCCCCCCCCCCCCCCCCTCTCCTCTTCCTCCCCCCCCTCCCTCTTCCTCCCCCCTCCCTCCCTCTTCCTCTGCTGCTCTGCCAGGACCTTACTGATTCCCTCAGGTGTTGCCCCTCCTCCCTTCAAACTCTCGCTCTGTCTCTTACTCTCTCTCTGCCTCTCACTCTGGCTCACTCCCTCCCTCTCTCTCTCTCTCTCTCTCTGTCTGTCTCTCTCTCTCTCTCTCTCGGTCTCTTTTACACCCCCCACCTCTCTTCTTCTTTCTCTCTTCTCCCTCTCTGTCCCACACCCCATCTCTCTCTCTCTCTCTCTCTCTCTCTCTCTTTTTTCATACCCCCCCCTCTCTCTGGCAGAAGGTTGTGATTATTGGGCTGGGGGCAGCAGGGTACTGATCAGCTGTTGCTAGAGAAAAGACACAGCTCAGCAAGGCTGTGTGTGTGTGTGCGGGTGTGCGTGTGTTTCTCCACATAAATGAAGGGAGGATGAGTGATCAAATCTGAAAAGGATGAGCAGGTGGCTCTTTTGTTTATGTGGCTTTTTTGGCACGGTGCCTGGCATTCTAAATGCCAGGAGAGGGTTGGTGTGTGTGTGCGCATGGGCACGTGTTTGTGTGTGTGTGTGTGTGCATGGTCGTGCGAGCCTAAATCTGTCTTGCTGTGGGCGAGTCTACTGTGGCATGATGAAGCAGGTGGCCATATTTGAGGGACAGCATTCTCTCTCTCTCTCTCTCTGTGGGCGAGTCTACTGTGGCATGAGGAAGCCGGTGGCCATATTTGAGGGACAGCATTCTCTCTCTCTCTCTCTCTCTGTGGGCGAGTCTACTGTGGCATGAGGAAGCCGGTGGCCATATTTGAGTGAGAGCATTCTCTCTCTCTGAGACACATTTTATTTATTTTAGGTTAGTCTCATTGAGATAATATCTATTTTTCAAGCGAGACCTGGTCCAACCAAGACAGCAGCAGAGGGGAACAATGTTTGAGACAAATATCAGACATAACAACTTACAGACATAGACATACCATTAAAAAAAAAACTGGGACGTAGACACACATTTCAATTACAGAAACAGCGTCATAGATAAAAAATCACTGATATGTACTACTGCATCAAGTCCTAATACAAACACACACACACTGTTATGGAATAGGTTTAGACAGCACACTACAGCACTCAGCCAGCAGCCAGCAACCAGGTCAACCAAGTGTTGTGCTGCCAAGCCTTGATATGGGCAGGTGCTGCCAAATAAGGGGTTGGTCAGTCAGTGTCCCAGCTTGCAAGCCGTGAAGCTGATTGTTTGTTTGGTGGCCATGAGGCCTTTCGTTTGTTGTTGAGTCTTTAGTTTGGACATGCCATTGGTATTTTTCCTTTTTGTACATATTTGTTTAGTCACCATCTGAAGAAATAATAATCCACTTGCACTGGCCAATCAAAAGGAGTTAAGGCAGAGCTGGCCCTGGACCTAGGTAAGGCAGCTGTCTCCTGGGTACATGCATTCAACACCTGGTCACATTTGCTTACTTGTCACATTAATGGACACATTCATTCAAGTTACATAACCATTAGGCAAACCTAGAACCCCTAGACTTAGCAAGTACAGTGTAGGCTGTCTAGTCAGTTCCATAACAACAACAACAACAACACACACACACAGCGTACCTGTAGCCACGTCCCTGACCAGCAGGGGGTGCTGTTTGGAGAGGGTGAACCCATGACCGCTGGAGTCCAACACCGGGTCTCTGACGATCTGAACCGTTAGCCTCACTGGGAAGTTCTGACTGGACACACTACCTGACCGGTTAGACCTCCCATCCCCAAGGATCCGCTCTCTGAGAGGTCAAACAGGGGTTAAACCGGGGTTAGAGGTCAGGGGTTATTGAGAGTGGCAGAGCAGCTGGTGTGAGACTATGTGAGTAAAGTTAAACATTAAATTAGACTCACTACAGGGGGCTAGTCATTCCTCTCCTTCCCTCCCTGTGTCAGCTGTTTCTGGCATGTTTACTAAGCATGAATAACAAATGGCCCATCCACATACTTCATGTATATATACATACACTGAACAAAAATATAAACACAACATGTAAAGTGTTGGTCCCATGTTTCATGAGCTGAAATAAAAGATCCCAGAAATGTTCCATATGTCTCTGAAATTTTGTTCACAAATTTGTTTATATCCCTGTTAGTGTGCATTTCTCCTTTGCCACCTGACAGGTGTGGCATATCAATAATCTGATTAAACAGCATGATCATTACACAGGTTCACTTAGTGCTGGGGACAATAAAAGGCCACTCTAAAATGTGCAGTTTTGTCACACAAGAATGTCATAGATGTCTCAAGTTTTTAGGGAGCGTGCAATTGGCATGCTGACTGCAAGAATGTCCACCAGAGCTGTTGCCAGAGAATTTCATGTTCATTTCTCTACCATAAGCCGCCTCCAACGTCATTTTAGAGAATTTGGCAGTACGTCCAACCGGCCTCACAACCGCAGACCACGTGTAACCACGCCAGCCCAGGACCTCCACATCCGGCTTCTTCACCTGCGGGATCATCTGAGACCAGACACCCGGACAGCTGATGAAACTGTGGGTTTGCACAACCAAATAATTTCTGCACAAACTGTCAAAAACTGTCTCAGGGAAGCTCATTGGCGTGCTCATCGTCCTCACCAGGGTCTTGACCTGACTGCAGTTCGGCGTCGTAACCAACTTCAGTGGGTAAATGCTCACCTTTGATGGCCACTGGCACGCTGGAGAAATGTGCTCTTCACGGATGAATCCCGGTTTCAACTGTGCCAGGCAGATGGTAGACAGCGTGTATGGCATCGTGTGGGCAAGCGGTTTGCTGATGTCAACGTTGTGAACAGAGTGCCCCATGGTGACGGTGGGGTTATGGTATGGGCAGGCAGGCAGGCATAAGCTACGGACAACGAGCACAACTGCATTTTATCAATGGCAATTTGAATGCACAGAGATACCGTTGTTGGGCCATTTATCCGCCGCCATCACCTCATGTTTCAGCATGATAATGCACGGCCTCATGTCGCAAGGATCTGTACACAATTCCTGAAACCTGAAAATGTCCCAGTTCTTCCATGGTCTGCATACTCACCAGACATGTCACCCATTGAGCATGTTTGGGATGCTCTGGATCGAAGTGTACGACAGCGTGTTCCAGTTCCCGCCAATATCCAGCAACTTTGCACAGCCATTGAAGAGGAGTGGGACAACATTCCACAGGCCACAATCAACAGCCTGATCAACTCTATGCGAAGGAGATGTGTAGTGCTGCATGAGGCAAATGGTGGGTACACCAGATACTGACTGGTTTTCTGATCCACACCCCTACCTTTTTTTAAGGTATCTGTGACCAACAGATTCATATCTGTATTCCCAGTCCTGTGAAATCCATAGATTAGGGCCTAATTTATTTATTTCAATTGACTGATTTCCTTAGGAACTGTAACTCAGTAAAATCTTTGAAATTGTTGCATGTTGCGTTTATATTTTTGTTCAGTGTATATATGTGTGTTTGTGTGTTTGTTGATACTGTACCTGCTGAGTGATTCTCGAGTGCGTCTGATCAACGTCCCCACCACCTGCTGCACCCGGCTGGCCCTACGGCTACGAGATGGAGACCGGCTCCTACTCCTCTCCTTCTCCTCCATTTAACTACACAGAGAGAGAGAGAGAGAGAGAGGGGGAGGGATGAGAGAGAGAGGGGCTGAGAGAGAGAGAGAGACCACTGCACCACAGCAGAACCTGAGACAGAGCTGCATTTCCTGACAAAATGTCAAAAACATAAAACAATTAGAGAGTGTCATTTCCCCAAATTTGAAACCGTTTTCAAAGACCTCTCTGATGAGAATAGGCTACCCGTCCTGTTGGGGGAGGACGCAGAGCTGTGGGTTGGCAGCGCACTACATTGCTGCCTGCCATAAGATGAGGGACAATGTCTGACAGACTAACCAACCTCAATGGTTATTTTGACCCTTGGTTATTGTTGTTACTGTTGTCCCGTTGACAATATTGATTATTATTATTTTAATTATGTTAATATTTTAAATATCTAAAGTAAGCTTTGGCAATATGTACATTGTTACGTCATGCCAATAAAGCAAATAGAATTAGAGAGAGAGAGAGAGAGAGAGAGAGAGAGAGAGAGAGAGAGAGAGGAGAGAGAGAGAGGAGAGAGCGAGAGATAGATTCCAAGAGAGCAGTCTCCCAACTCTCGAGACGCAGGCCTTAGCGTCTCTCGCTCTACTAGCTCCCTCTACTGTGAGCTATAGAGAGACGCACAGACAGAACAAAGACGAAGACATACAGACGAAACAGACAACAGACAGACAGACAACAGACAGACACAGACAGACAGACAGACAGACAGACAGACGACAGACGACAGATCAAATCAAAATCAAGGAAAAAGGTGCAAGGGAAAAAGGAAAGAGAGCTTATTAGTGTGGTGCTGTGTTGGACTTTGCACTCGGCACCACAATTATGTTAGGGCCAGATCTGCATTTTGTTTTCATCATGTTTATATTGCAGAGTGTGTCGCTTGCCCTGTATACCATGAATAATCAGATATGTAAACAAGAAGAGGGAGAGGGAGTCAGAAGGGTATTCAACTCTACTAAACAAAACACTCACACTCAACAAGATGTGACACACGACCACCAGCTACATAAAAAAAAAGGA